ATAGCTTTAAGGCCCACCCCCAAGGACCTACTGCCTCAACTAGACCCTATCTCCTAAGTTTCCACAATAATCCATTAAATTATGAATCTATCAATGCATTAATCCATCGATGAGCTTACAATACTCATTATCCAAACGTTCCAAAGCTGATCACTACTGATCACTATTGCCTTTGGGACAAAGTCTTCAACACATGAAGTTTAGGGAAATATTTTGGATCAAAACATAAAAGTGCCCTGAAAATTATGGCATTTTTCCTTTGACATTGTTGGGGTTGAATTTATCTTAGATTAATGTTTATATATGTATGTATGTATTTGTTGGAGTTGTGTTTCTTTTTTTCTTTTAATTTTGAAATTGTACACACTTATAAAAAGAGTTACAAAAATAATAAAGGAATTCCTATCTGTTCTTCACCCAGATTCCCTAAAATGTTCTCAATAATGTCCTTTTCCTGGTTGTAATTTCTTAGAATCTTTTGTCTTCTTTAATCTGGAACAGTTCCTCAGTTATCTTTCATGACTGACATTATTAAAAAGTACTGGACAATTATTTTATAAAATGATCTGCAATTTTGGCTAATCAATTAATTTCAATCAAGGAAAGAAAGCCTTCTAGTTCTATTTCCAAGTAGTTGTAAATACACTGAAACACTTCAAATTTTTTTCTTTTTGTCTGTGAATAGTAATCATGGGATTTGTATGGCTGAGTGACTGGATAGAAGTGATAATAATATCTAAGTGGTTCTGTGGCTCTGTTTTTAGAGTATATTGTAGGTGTTTAATTTCAAAAACCAGGCCAAAAAATTTTTGCTTTCAGATGTACAGTTAATAGAATCATAAACAGCCTTTCATAATAACCTCAGATAACTTGAAAATGCTTTCATGTTTCTCCAGTGCTGACACTGACATATATTTTAATGGGCAGGCGTTGTGCTATCAGCAAAGCTTTCTGTCTAAAGCAAGCAGATAATTGTAAGGTTTTTAACTGGATCTGGCTACTTAAAGTTCTCGTATTCATGTTTCTCCATGCAAATCGTAAATTCTTTTTGCATGTTCATTTAGTAATTTTGGTCTTAGTTTACTCTTGCCTTTTATGCTTCACTTTCCTGGATTTAAGCTCTATTTTGAAAAAATGGCAAACATCAGATTTTAAAAGTTCTATTTTTAAATATTCATGTGTAGAGAAAAACGTAATAATCCACAATAAACAGAGTAGTGGAGAAAGGGAGGTATTGGGGAATGAAATGGATCAAATTATGTTATGCGCATGTACAAATATGTTTCGATGAATCCCACTACTATGTATAATTATAATGCACCAAGGAAAAAAAAGTCTAAAATTTTTTAAAGAGCTCCATGATCGATAATTGTTTTTAAATGCTGTGAAGATCCATGGCTAAAATAAGAAATACCTAGTTGTGGAAAATCTCCAGAAATAATGAATACTAGGCCAAATTAATGCTCTTTATCTGCCTCATTATGGGACCTAAGAGGACACTAATAAGATCACAGGATAAAACAACTAGGAAAATTTAAAGGGTCTCTTCAAATGGTCCTTTTATTTTATGATTGATCATGGTACTTTTAAAATATAATTGCTTATTTACTTCCTTATATTATTCACTAGACTGCAGACCTTGGAAAGAACTGTCTTATATGCTATTGTATCCCCAGTTCAGGACCTTGGCACATAGATGTTAAATACTTATTGAATGAATGTTCCATGATTATTCCATTCAACAGTATAAAGGCAAAGAGTTGAGTCCACACACAGTTGTATCCACACACAGTCTAGTTCTCTGTACCACATTGCTTTCTAGTTGAAAAAAATCACATAGATGAAATTTTTCAGAACATATTTTAAAATTTTAGGGTAATAGTAAGCTAAAGTTCTTAGAACATTTTAACTATATTCAAGTGAAAGTATCTCATAGAAAATAATCATATTTAAACTGATCTGACCTCAACAAGATTTTTTTGAGTTTCTTAACAAAGCCAACAATTGAGTTAATATTTCTGCCTGCTCTATCTCCTGGCTTATAAAAACTAGAAATGAAATCTGAACAGTGTCCATTAAATGCTTTTTTACAAAACTGGATTCTATTTTGTCTCCCGGAGGACTTCGTATTTTTGCTGTCCTTAACTTAAGTCAACTGTTATATTACCACATTTCATGTTCCAAAGCTCCTCTAGACTAATCACTATGAAAAACATTTTACAGTTACCAATTGAGGCTAATAGGATTTCTGCATTTTTATTCAGATACAATTTAGTTGTATTTCCTCAACTACTTTAAAATTCTTTCTGGTACTAGAAATATCTAGATAACTACAGTGTAAGCTTTAACCTGCTATAGAGTTGATCAGATATCAAGTGGAAACTAACCATTTTCCTATTTCTGTTCTACAAGGACTTTTTATAAAATTAAACTTTAATTTTTAGATAATTGTAGATACATGCATAGTCATTACAAACTTAAAAGATCCTGTTTATCATTCATCCATTTTTTTTATAACTATGGTACAATATTACAGTGTGGATCTTAATCAGATTTTCCCATTTTTCCTTGTATACATTGTATTTCCTTGTATACTATGTAAATTTATTACTTATTCATGTGTCCACCACCACAGTCATGATACTGAATAGTTCCATCACTGTAGGGATCCCTCCTGTTGCCCTTTTTTGGGGGGTGGAGGGGACCGGGGATTGAATTCAGGGGCACTCGACCACTGAGCCACATCCCCAGCCCCATTTTTGTATTTAGAGACAGGGTCTCACTAAGTTGCTTAGTGCCTCACCATTGCTGAAGCTGGCTTTGGACTCGAGACCCTCCTGCCTCAACCTCCCGAGCCTCTGGGATTACACGCATGTGCCAGCTCCTGTTGTCTTTATAACCATACCTAACTCCCTCTATCCTGAGCATATTTCCCTCTCATACACATCCCTCCTTGTCCTCTCTCAGCCACTACTCTGTTCCCCACTTTTGTAAAGCTGAAGAATATTATGTAAAGGAATCATGCAGCATATAACCTTTGGGCATTAGCTTTTTCACTCAATTTCACTCAACTTTTTCACTTCATTGGAGATTTATTCAGGCTGTTGCATGTATCATTATATCATGTGTTTATCATTTCTGTGTATTGCTAGATAATATTCCACAGTTAGCTGTGTCACAGCTTAATCATTCACCTCTTGAAGAACATGTAGGTTGTTTGTGGTCTCTGATTTACAAACAAGCTACCTCAAATATTTGTGTGCAGATATTTGTATGAACATAAGTTTTCTTTTCTCTGGGTTAAATGGCCAGGAGTATAATTGCTGGGTCATACAGTAGTTGAATATTTAATCAATAAAATGCCAAACCATTGGCCATAGCTATACCGTTTAGCAGTGTATGAGAGGAATCTCATTTCTCTGCATCCTTCCAGCAGTTGGATTGTCTTTTTTATATTCATATATATATATATATATATATATATTTTTTTTTTTTTTTTTTTTTAACCATACTTGTGTAGTGACACGTCATTGTGGTTTTAGTTTGTTTCTCTAAAATCTAATGATTTTAAACATCTTTTCATGTGCCCATTTGTTAATGTATGTATTCTCTCTGGTGAAATGTCTGTCTTTTTGCCCATTTCTAATTGACATGTTTGGATTATTTACTATTGACTTTTACAAGTTCATTATATATTCTGTATGTTGGTTCATCATCAGATGTGTGGCTCACAAATATTTTCTGATACTTATCTTCTTTTCATCCTCTTAACAGTGTCTCTTACAACATTTTAAATTTTATAGTTTTATACTTAAGTCTGTGAACTATTTTGAGTTTTTTAAAATTGCGATTTTAAAAATAACAATTTACCATTGTAGCTGTTTTTGAGTGTTCAACTCCAGTAGCATTAAGTACATTTACAATGTTGTTCAGCCATCACCACTATCTAGTTCCAGAACTTTTTTATCCATCTTAAACAGAATCCCAGGACCCATTAAGCCATCATTCTCTCTTCTTCCTTTCCCCAGTTCTGTGACAAGTATAGAATATGACAGTAAACATTTATAAACTGTCTTGGAGTTTTTTTATTACCATGACATCTAAGTGCATTATTTCATATTTAATAAAAATAGTGATCCACAATAGAGTAGAAAAAATCTGGGACAGTTTGAGATGTATTGAATTGGATGACTTCATTAACACATATGCTCATAGTCGAAGGGTAGGGAAAGTTAAATGACTTTCCTGATGATCTAGCTGTCAGTGAGGTATACAACTGTAGCAAAGCCCAGATAAATTTTTCTCCCTGGCATAAATCAAGGATTATCATCAGTATCAGTAATAATCATGATAATAAGTGAATCATGACTGTTTATATAGCTTCTGAAGGAACCTACTAATGTTAAATATTCTGGTGGCATTGTTAGCAGTTCTCACATTCTCCTCAGGAAAGTTGTTGAATCATTTGAAAAAGTTGTTTCTTTCAAATGTTAGTAAGTTATATTCACTATAGATTATAATAGTCATTAACTATGCCAAAGTTTCTTTTAACCTACAAGCATGAATATGAGAGTAAAAGAAGTTCTACTGACAATATTTACTAATTGTGAAAATTTGCCATCAATATGTAACATTTTTCTTTTGGATACTTTGATCCTTGCTCCTCTAAAAAAAAAAATGCACTTGGCAGTGATTAAAGTACACATTTCCATTAACTCTGAAAATAACAATTTCTAACAGTGTTATAATCTAAGACAGTTCCTCATGAATAAAAAGTTCTAATACTTTTTTTGTTTGTTTTCTAATACTTTTTGAGAAACTACTTTTTTAAAATGCTTTACCACTGTGCCACAACCCCAGCACCCTCAGAAGCTACTTTTTAAAGAAAATTGCAAATGTTACTCTGACAGCAAAACAAAGTTCTGCTTGACTCGTGTAGAATTTGAATTTAACAAAGAATTTATCATGAATGTCCTCCTTTCTTTGTGTTTATTATTCAGAGAACAAGGAGAATCCACAGACTTGAAACATGAGTTCAGATACCAGCCAAGGCGTGATCACTACTCCTCCTCCTCCCAGCATGCCTCACAAAGAGAGATATTTTGACCGAATCAATGAAAATGACCCTGAATACATTCGGGAGAGGAACATGTCTCCTGATCTACGACAAGACTTCAATATGATGGAGCAGAGGAAACGAGTTACTCAGATTCTGCAGAGTCCTGTAAGTTACTATAAGCCTTTAATTTTTATTCCTCTTGAGAACCTTGATAGAATGAGGTAGAAAGTATCTTAAGCTACTGTCAGATTAAAAGGGGTGGAGGAGGAGTGTCTAGTTGCTTAAAGGAGAAATGGGCACTTAAATTATGTATTTGCTTTACAAAGATTTAATAAGAATCTAGTATTGTGTTAGTGGTGTACATTTTGGAGTATGTTTTCTGGGTGTAATGCTTTATAAAAAGAGAACAGACAATTTTACTGAATTCAAGGACACCAAGTTAGACTGAATATCAGTGAAGAAAAACATGACTCAAGTCATAGTAATCAAGGAGTAGGCTAGGTGTATGCCTCATACCTGTTTTTAATTCCTTGGGTGTCTTCATACACACAGCAGCATAGAAAGACTTGAGGTTTTTGTGGTCTGATATGGCAGCCTAATGTTAACACACCTAATGCAGGCATACATGCATACACACCCCAAAGTAACTGGATTTAAAGTAGATTATTATTATATATAATATTATAGTAAATTCAGTTTGAGGTGAAAATTCTGTCTGGCACAGCAACATCCAGACTGTTAAATCATATTCAAGTGATTTGTTAGTTTTTTATAAACACTCAGTGGAATTACACACCAAGTTAGACTAAATATTAACCAAATGATTATTGTAACTGGAAAATGAGAGAACAGCTTGGTTTAAGATGCAAAATGATTTTATAACTTTATGTATAATAAAGATCATGGACTCCTTAAGGCAGAGTTCTGCATACATAGACACGTGATACCTATGTTTGGCTCATTGGACTTCCAACTTAGGTACTAAAATAAGCACCAGAGCATAGAGCTGCCTGAAGTAGCACTGGTAAATCATTTTTGTCGTGCCCTTGTGAATTTAATTACAGAAGTTGAGTCAAAAGCCAAAGGGGGAATTCCACTCTGTGTGATTTCCCATACCAGTGGCCCTGATGAAAGCTTTGAAGTACAAGTTATAAAAGCAGTGCCAGCTTTGAGGAATTTTAAAAGTATAGCACCCAGTTTAAAGAAACTTTCCAAATGGAACAGAAATTAACCAGAGATGAGAGATTATATGTTCCATGCCTTACAAACCTGAGTTTATGTTTCCAGATCCTTGTAATGCACATTATTTAGATCAAAATAGATTTATTTCTTGCTCTAAAAAAATCCCACTTAAAAGTAGGTTTAAGAACTAACTTATTAACCAAATGATTATTGAAACAGATAATGTAAAGTAATTGATTGTGACAGATAGTGTAAAGTAATTGAGAGAAAGAGATGAAGTTCGGATTTTGTTCAAGGTTGTTAAATATTGAGATTCTGAGGGAAGTGCCCCAAAGAGGACCAATGAATTCTAACTAAGATGTAAATGAAAAAGTACTAAGTTACATTTCTATTCCAGGGTTTTTTCTTTTATAGTTTCCCCCATTAAATAAAGACATCATGACTTTGAGTAGATTGTTTAATTTTTATACTTGTATATCTACATTTGTAAATTGGCTTGTGCCTTGGGAAACTGAAATAACCGGAAAGAGTGGATATAAAGATCGTCATTCCCTTAATGAGGATGATCATTTTTCTGCCCAAAGAGAAATGAAGAAGGCCGAAATTTAAAAGCATTATGGGTTGATTTTTTTTCCCCTCCTAGATCTTTGCCTAGTGTATTTAAAATTTTGTTTGTGAAAGTGTATAAATTTAAAGTGTTCAAATTTATTTTAATATAAGAGAAATTGTTTACCAAAGGAAATGTTACGTGATGGGCTTGTATTAGTTATCTATTGATAAATTACAAATTAGCAGCTTAAAACAACAAACATTTCTTATCTTACCATTTCTGAGTCAGGGGCTCAGAAGCACTTAGCTGAGTGGTTCTGGCTCAGGTTCTCTTATGAAGTTACAGAAGATATCTGCCATGACTGCTGTCATTTGGAGGCTTCACTGGGATGGAAGGATCATCTCTTAAGATAGATCACTTACATAGCTGATAGCAAAAGGCCACAGTTCCTTGTCACATGAACCTTTTATTAAGGCTGCTTGAATGCTTTCCCCAGAGAAGGTAGCCTTCTGTGCTTTTTAATGACCTAATCTCAGACATCACCTGCCATCATCAGCACACATAAAAATAAATAAATAAAATAAAAATATTGTGTTCACCTATAACTAAAAAAATATTTTTTAAAAAAAGTGAGGCACTAAAGTTCAGCTCATACCAGGGAGAGAAAAATTGAGTTTACCTTCTTAAGAAACAATTATGCATCCTGTGGTCACAATTTATTTTAAAAGTACTGTAGTCACGATTTATTTTTCCCTTCTCCCATGTGCAAAATACACTCACCCTCTCCTGATTTCCCTTAGAGATCTCATTCTATTATGACGTTAACTTGAATCTAGACTCTTATCATCTAAATTTGGTCCAGGTACAGATGTTCCTAAATGCACTTCCTCAAGTACAGTTCCTCTCAGTCTGTTCACTATAAGGAAACAACTTATTTGCTCTCCACTACCGCCATATACACATATATTTTATGGTGGGACAGGCATAAGATAACTGTTACAGATATTCCTATTCAAAAACAGAAAATTCTGGGGCTTGGGCAGGGGGCTGGTATTGTACCAAGAGTCAGTGGTTTAAGCAATTGTGAAATCTAGGTGGGAAAAATGTTTGGAAGCTCCTTGAAGAGAAATCAGTCCTACTGCTTACCAAGAGTCTCCATAGTTTTTGGCTCTGCCCTCTGGTTTCTTGGTTCCCCTATCTGAGTCATCCTTCCTTTTCCTTGAAAGGTAGTCTGTGTTTGCAACTGTGTTTTTCTCAACCTGTTTCCACCTTATGGAGGTTTTGAAAGGCCTTGTTTCCTTTTGTATTGACTTTATTCCTTTTAGCCCAAGCTTACAGTGTTTCTGCCAATATGATTCTCTAAAAATTTTGTGTGTCTCCTATAAATATTGGAGTTCACCAGTAAAGATCAAAATCATAGATATTACTAATTAATGTTTGTAAGTAACACATCTTAAGCCTTCTAGTTAAAATTCTCAGGTTGGAAAGAAAGGAAATCAGGACAGAAACTAATAAAAGCGCAATGTATACTTTTATTACTAAATTCTTACTATGTGCCAGGTACCTACTTTGTATGTATGTATTATAATCTTTAGTCCCCAAAGCAATTCAGACAAAGAAATATTAATATCACCAGGCACAGTAGTGCATGCCTATAATTGCAGCTACTTGGGAGGCCAAAGCAGGAGGATCACAAGCCTCAGCAAGATCTTGTATCAAAAAATAAAAAGGACTGGGGATGTAACTCATTAGTAAAGAACCACTTATTCAATCATCAGTTCAAAAGATGGATAGATAGATAAAATATATATATATACATACATATTTAATATTCTTTGCTTACAGATGAATAAAAACTAAAACTTAGAGACATTAACTTGCTCAATGTTTTACAGATTGGTTAAATGGTGGGGTCAAAATTTTAACTCCAAAACTCATATTCTTAACAAGTAAGTAGCTATACCATTTAAAGAATTTAATGACAATGAAAAAAATTCCACCTTCTATTTTGTATTATTTTATTCATCTTCAAATTTTGTTGCTCAGGTTAATTCAGCCCAACCCAAGAAGAGTTTTTTCTGATCAGAAGATGCTTTGATTTAAATGTAATTTGTTAATTTGAATAATAAAAATAGCTACTGTTTGCCTTAACTTGAAAAATAGTTCATCTTGTTCTGACTCCCAGAAAGTATTCTTTTTAGAGATTCTGCAGCTTGTTATATTTACATTTTTAAAAAATATTTTTTCTCGTTGTAGATGGACACCTTTATTTTATTTATTTATTTTTGTGTGGTGCTGAGACTCAAACCTAGGACCTCCCATATGCTAGGCAATGCTCTACCACTGAACTACAATCCCAGCCCCATATTTAAATTTTTTAAGGAAAGTATTTATCTTAGAAATCAAATGTTGGTGAGTAAACTAGTTTAGCTTAGTATTTTGTTAATGCCATAGAATCCACAGATTCTCTTTGACCAATGTACTCATCATATATAATGTTTGTAGAAACTCTGTATTATAATTTACACCCTTTTCTCAAAATGTCCAAAATAAACTGTTGGAAGTAGGTGGTGCTTCTTCAGAGTTCAAGAAGCATACAGATTTAAAAACTAGCAGGTAGCACTTGGAACACAGTAGATATTTGGTAAATCTGAGTGCATAAATAGATAGGTATGTGAATAACTGGGTGGGCTTCAAGTTTTAAACACTTTAATGTTATTCATCAAGCTTCTCCTGAACTTTACTGCTCCATATGGAAAATTGTTGATGGGCTTCTTAATCCTTACCACCATAGGAAGCAATCTAGACTGCTTAATGCATGTGTAGGAAGTTGTTCTGAAAAATAGAATAACAGACATATGACATACTAGTAATTTTAAATAACAGGGCATTATCCAGTTCTTAAACATATTTGGAAGGCAGGAGAAACTTCAAAGCCGTATACAATTTTAGGATATCATTGTAATTAAGGCCTAAATGTTAACAGGGTGCCTTAATTAGAAAAATTGTTCAGAATCACTGTGCTCTACCTGGTCTCTTTAAAAGTTTTAAGATACAAATATTCTTTATTAACTTTGTTTATATTTTTTTAAAACCAGTTGCAAGAAAAGTTTTCGTTCTAACTTTTAGTTTCATGTTAAGACTTAGATAGAGGAAAAAGACCATCCAGAAGAAAATTTGGTTTATTTGTTTTTTCTCCTTTCAACAGGGCCAGTCGTAATCTATTTCCAAATGAATACATTTCTTAATGGAGAAATTCTAAGTAAGTTTGTTGTGCTCCTAATCCCACTTTAGGAGAGATCTAATACATAATTGCAGAGTGCCTTGGGAGCAGCAAGTGTGTAATCATTTTTTTTCTTTTGCTCCAGTTTTCCTCTCTAGTAATTATCATGAGGTCAAATATCCAGATGTGGACACTTAAAATTCATTTCTG